CAGCCTCTCTTGTCTCTTCCCTGCCAGCAGTGGGGTGTGTGTGTGTCTGCTGCTCCGTGGGGGCCAGCACAGGTGACTGTCACTAAACACCACTTTGGTGTGTGTGGGATAAGGGCTTAAAGCTGTAAAAGGAGCTGTTTGTTTTGCAGGAGGAGCGTGATGGACAAACCACTGCAGTGTTACCTGGCGAGAGCTGCGCAGCCAAGGGCTGGCTTAGAACCCACGGGGTGCAAACACACTCGGGAGCTGCTGGCACTCAAACCTGAGCAGAAGGCTCAAGGCCTGGGGTTTGCTTTTAATCAGAACTGGTGCCTTTGCAGCCTTTTCCTCATGGGTATGCCAACCATCAGCCAACAGACAAAGAGGTGTGGCTCCATCTGTCAGCACTGATCGAAGTGAGGCCACTGGGATCATCGCAGCTGTGCCAGGATGAAGCTGTATCAAGCCCCTTTCCATATGAATCCTTCTCCCTGCCAGAGGATACTGATTTCCCACCTATCATTGGATTTGAAGTATAATGTAAAAAAAAAAAAAAAAAAAAAAAAGGGGGGGGAGGGGGAAACACATGGTTACACAAGCCCCCTATTTTAAGAGAATTAAAAAGCAATTATTCCTTAAAAAAAGATAAATAAATCTGTGATTCTTGGGAAGTATTTCTAGGCCAGAAGCACCCCTGGTGACCAGGGTTAAACAGGGCATCAAGTCATTTTGTTTCTGACTGTTCCTGAAGGTAGTGCCTCGAGCACAAGCTCAAAGAACCCCCAGACAAGACACACACACCAGTCAGTCCCTGTCCTAACTGGGCAGGCTTCCTCAAATCCCAGCCCCAGTGCTTCTAAGTCAAATGAGATCACTCTGCACGTTGCCCTACTCCTGTGCAGTTACATTCCTATGTCAGAGAGGAGGGAGCCAGTTAAGCATGGATACATAGTCCTTTTCAAATGCTTAATATTTCTAGTTTCACTGTAATTATATCCTGCAGATAAAAATGGTGCTCAAGGTCAAACAAATCCTCCAGGAGAATACGCACTGCATGGAAACTGTTTGGGTTTTTTTTAAACTGGAAAGGTTGTATAAATACTGCAGATTGAGAACCTATAATTATCCATTAAAACCACTCTGAGATTGCTGAATTAATATTTGTCCATGTTCAACCTCTAGTCTCATATTTATAAAGTTTACATGTGCACAAAGATCAGCTCAGGCAAGAGGCAGCTGATCAGAAATACATTTTCTCTGGGCCTTTCCTTTGGCATTAGAGGGTGATGTCTGCAGAGGAGCAGCTCCAGGGATGGGGGCTGAGCTGGGCTACCATCATCCTGCAGATAGTGCCCCACCAACCTTTCTCCAAGACACATCCCTGTGTTGCCCCAACAGTGCAGGGCTGCACCAACTCAGCTGAGAGAACCTCCCTGCCTGGGAAAGGCTTTCACACCCACCACTTCCATTTAGAATCATAATCATTAAGGTTGGAAGAGATCATATCCTGCCATCAACCCCAGATCACCACCATATTCACTATTAAACTATCACCTCAAGTGCCATATCCACACAGTTCTTGACCATTTCCAGGGATGGTGACTCTACGCTTCCCAGGGCAGAGCTTTACAACTCCTTCTGTGACTTTCTTCCCCAGATATTTAATCTAAACCTCTACACATCTGCAAAGGCTCTATGGTTGTTGCCCAAGACTAATCCCACTGTTTGGTGCAATCTCCAAATCTGCCTGGGGATGGAGAGGCAGACCTTGCATTTTCCATGCAGGGATTCATGCAGGGGGCAGTGGTGGCTTTTGCTCTGGAAATTCTTCCCTGGGAGCAATGAGCAATGTGACAGCCGAGCCCTGCAGCTGATACACTCGCCCAGGGGGAGCAGCACAGTTACCCACCAAAGCCCCAGCTCCACTCTCCTCCAGCTTTGCCCTGCTCATACACATCCCCCTGGAGCAGCCCCAGGCAGGGAGCTGCCTCCCCTGACTCCTTAGAGAAGCAGAAAGAGGATCCATCTCCATCCTTCGCACTCCCTTTGTCCTCCAGAGGTTGTTTGCCCAGGAAAGGAACAGGTGGCACTTGGCACAGGCCCCAGCACCCCTGGGCTCCTCCCGGGGGGATGAAGTGTGCTCCCACACCAAACACCCCTGCTCAGGGATGCCCACAGCCAGGAGAGCCAGGTCAGGCTCCCAAATGGGTGAAACCATGGACAGCATCGCTGCCAGCTGTGGCCTCTGCACCCTCCCCAAATCTTCCCCTCTCATTTATCATAGTGATCCAGGCCATGGAACTGCAGCAACTGAGACACTGCTTTTGCCCCCAGCACCAGCAAAGCCATCATGGGGTTCAGGACAAAAATCCCAGCAGTGGGCACTGCTCCAGAATTGGGGTTGGGGTGAAGCATTGCATGACCCAACCTGTCACCCTACTCTCCACCAGCCACCTCCAGACCTGAGGCAGGTGACATCTGTCTGTCCCCTGCAACTCTGGCTGAAAAAAACCCACAAGAACTGGGAGTCACTGGCATTGCCACCCCTTGGACACAGTACCACAGGAGCAGGTCTCAGGACACCTTTTTGGTGGAGGCTCACAAGAACCACCAGCCAGCAGGGGCTGCCAGGAGTTATATATATCGTGCTTGGATTTGAACTGCCCATGAACCTTCACCACAAATATTTGGAGGAAGGGGAGGGGGTAAAAGAAACAAAAACATTTTGAAAAACTGTCTCAGCAGTGAGAAAAACTATCAAACAACCAAAGGCAATTGAAAAATCAGGTACTTCCAAAGCTTGGTAACTTTGTATCTCATGTGGAATCCAGCAGCTACAGCCCTGCTGCACCAACCTCCTTGCCCAACCAGCTGTGCTAAAGCCAAAGGGCAGAGGAAATCCACAAACCCTCGTGCTGACCCCTCCTCACCCACTCAGGAACCTCAGCTTCCCCAAATGCTGACAGGGAGAAATCCCATGGCATGGACCTGATCCTTCCTCACTGCCCCACCCCCAGCCTCCATCTCTGAGCATCCTCCTGGAGACAGGTACATCATTAGCATATATTTACATTCGTGCTGAGGTAGGGAGATGGGTTTTCCTCTTGGATGTGTGGATGTAAAGCCAGAGGAGCTCTGCAGGTGTCAGGGTACATGAGACTTAGGAGCACCACACTCACTCCTCTGAGCTGCTGCCTGCCACAGCCTGAAGATGCACAGCAGGCTCCACGGGCGAGGATGGAGGGAGGCAGGAGCTGTTATCCCAGTGGATCTGTCAGTATTTCCAATGACAAATTTACTCCCTTCTGATGCCCTTGGCGGGCTGTTGAACCTCACCAAGGCTTTTCTGATCCTTGAAATCATTTAGATCTCAGTAAAGTTCTTTGAGGCAACCCCCTCTCTTGCCCTGGCCAGCCCTCCCAGCAGAACACCCCTGCCATTAAGGACAACTGGATTTATGTAGGAAAAATCCCATGTTTTCCAGCAGGGATTTATCTCCTCCAAAAGCAAACTACCATCACTAATAAGCCCTGATGCTTACACACCAACACCCTGCCCACAAGAAAAAAACAAACCATCAAAAACAAAATCTGTGCAAATACATCTCTGGTCTAAGCCAACCCACCCAGGAAGCCAAAGTTTGGTACCAAAAGCCACTGAGGTGAAGCAGAAATGCTTTCCAGCATCCAAAGCACACCCTGGCACGGATGAAAAGCTTCTCTTCATCCATGTAATTTAAAGGTGTAATTTATACTCAGCTCCTGAGTTACTAAAACCCTGCAGCCCTTTAAGCACACGTCAAAGCACTCCACTTCATACAGCAGCCCCTGAGGGTAGCACTCTGCCCTCTGCATGGGAAAGGTCTGTTCCTGGAGGAACAGGGAGCAGGGAGCGGCTGGCACTCCAGGGAGGGACACAGCTCCCTGGGAAATCGATGCCAAAGGAAGACAGGGTGGAGCGTAGTGCTTTTATAGAGATTATTTGGAAAGAGAAGAACCCGAGCGAAATGGCTCTTCCCTAGGGAACTTGGGACCTTTGTTTCTCTCCAGAAATGCTCAGGATGGCTGTGTGACTTGTGGGCCTGGTGCCAGGTTCCCAGTATGCCTTGGAAACAGAGTTTTGTGCAGGAAAGGGAGGGGATTCACCAACCAGTACCCCTTGCAGGACACAGACAACAGGGCCAGTGCTTCTGACCATGTGGAGTGGAGGCATCTCCAGCTAAGGCCTCCCAGGGCCTCTCCCATCTTTTTAAGAGCACAAGCTCTGTTTCAGATCTGACTCTTTTAACCTCTGCTTCTCCTTCTTTCCTGTCTCTTCCAGAAGACTCACAAACCTTTCCCCGCTGCAAACAGGCCTGGACCAAGTGATTGCAACCCACACCAGCCACAGGTTCTCCACTCCCTGCCTTCTCCCAAGGATCCCTTTTTTTTTCCACCAGGAGAGCCAGGGCAGCAGTTTGAAGACTGCCAGAAAACTCCTTTAACTCAAAGAAAAGAGCATTCCTGCCTCACCTCCATCCCACTGCCACAGCCAAAGGATGATCCTGACCGGATCCCTCTGCTGTAGACACCACTCCACCTCCCCCCATCCCAGGTCATCATTCCGACCAAGGCAATTTTGGCTAGACATTTTGCAAAACCTTTGGGAAAGAAGTTGTCAGCTCCACTTAGGCAAACCAAGTGCATCAGGCAGAGCTCAGAAGCTGAGGAGACTTTCCCTTGGGTCTCTGCCAAGCTGTGTGGCCCCCTTTCCACAGGAGAACAGGCAAGGCGCAGAGATGGTGGCAGCCTCACAGTCTCAGAGGGGCATCCCCCATCCCTCTTGGGGTCATGGCCAGGGTGGCCCAGGGAAGAAAGGGGACACTGCTCTGAGCTTGGCTTTTGGAAAGGCACACATCAAAATGTGTATGTATATATATATATTTATATATATACATATATATAAATATATATGTATATATATATAAAATGGGCAGGGCTGCTGAGCAAGGCCAGGAGGGATAGGGAGAGCTGCAGAAATTGCTACCTGCAGCCACACGTTTCCACGACCATGTCCTCGTACTGTTTGTAAACCACATTGTTCCCAGAGTCTATATAGAGGATGCTGATGGGGCTGAGCTTGGAGGGCACGCAGCAGCTCGGGGGGGTGGACTCCGGGTCCATGGAGTTCATCAGGGTCTGGATAATGGCATGGTTGGTGGGCTCCAGGTGGGAGCGCAGGGGGAAGTCGCAAACCCCCTCGCAGTGATAAGCCTCGTAATCCAGGGGGGCGATTATCCAGTCATCCCAGCCCAGCTCCTTGAAGTTCACGTGCAGGGGCTTCCTGCTGCAGCGAGTCTTCGCCTTCTTCCCGTGGCCTCTGCCCCCAGACCGGGCGGCAATGGTGGTCCTCCTCTTCCTCCGCTTGGGATACGCCTCCTGGCCGGGATCGGGGGGCTCCAGGAAGGGGGGGCTGCCCAGGGCCTTGATCTTATCCCGGATCTCCTTGAAGAGGTTCTCCTTCCTCTGGGTGCGGGAGAAGGCCACGAGCAGGGCTCGCTCATGGGGCTGTGGCCGGGGCTTGCCGAAGCCCAGCTGCCGGGGGGGCAGGAGCTGCCCCGACTGATCCGAGACGATCCTCAGCTGGAAGCACAGCAGCCTTCCCGAGAGCGACCTCTCCCTCTGATCTCGCACGGCCTCCCAGACATCAAACACCTCCCATCTGGAGGAGCCCGTGTCCAAAACGTCTGCAGCCCTGGAGTCCAGCAGCCGGGGCTCCTCGCCGTCCCGGCCTGGGCAGGGGGCAAGGAGGAGGTGGTGGAAGGTGCCCTCGGGGGACAGCGCCAAGCTCCGGTTCTCAGGGAGGGAGCGCAGGATCCGCAGCTCTGCGCCCGTCACCTCCTCTGCCTCCGGCAGGCTGGAGATGTCAAAGAGGTACCGCTGCTCCGAGGCGGATGGGGCGGCATCTGGAAGAGATAACACAGAAAGAAAAAAAATAAAAAAAATTAAATATCGCCAATGCAAGCTCTCATTAGAGAGGTGCAGGGGATGCAGAGGTAATGGGGGAGATCTCGCTGTGCAGCACGGCTCCCTGAGCATCCCAGCGGGACACAGTCTCTGTGTCCTGCATCCAGGAGCGTCCGGCTGGCTCTGGGGAAACGAAAAAAAAAACTAAAAAAAAATGTGGAGGAGAAGCTACAGAGGGGGGGAGGAATAAACTCAAACAAGTGGCTTCTCATCAGCACTCTTCACATCCTGAGGAGGCTTCTCTGTCTCCTCCCAGGTGTTGCAGTGACCGCAGATGCACCGCTATTCTGTTCTGGCACGGAAGCCACACCTAAACCTGTGCAGCACATTTTCATCCCAAATCAGCAGGTTGTCACCGATTTCTTCTGCCCTAAGTGTCACACACATACACATGCTGTTAAAAATCCCGCTTCCCCTCGCAGGTAGGCACAGGCACACAGATCTGACAGAGGCACCCACAGCGGCTGAAAGTGAGCCCAGTCTCAGTTTGTCACTATTTTTAGTGGATCCAAAGACCTGACACGGGCTTGTGCCGTTTCTGGCACTGACTAAATACACTCAGTGTGAATTAAAAAAAGAAACACCAAAGGAGGTGGAACTGGGAAGAAGAGATGAATTGAGCTCTGAGAGGGTTGTTTTTTTGTTTTCTCCCTCGTTAACGAGAAACCTGACCTGGGCATGCTGCAAACATCTCTACTGTGCCCGGAGCGCCCCGACCTGCTGCCGGCAGAGCCCAGCCCGACCCCGCCGCCGGCAGCGCCGCTGGGTGCAGCCTGCACCGCCCGCCGGGGGGAAAACTTCTCCCTGGCGTTTGCTGCTGCTATTATTATCTTTAATTGTAGTATTATTATTCATTATAGTTATTAAATTTACTACTTGAAAAGCAGATCTAAAATTCCTATGAGGAGCAGATAAGAGCAGATAAGGAGATCCCTTTGAAGAGTTCATCTGGTTTCGTTTTGAGTTGAAACTTCCCAGGACCTGTGCGCAGTTTTCGCCCAGCTCTCACAAACTGAGCACTGCCCACCCTCCCACCGGAGCATCCTTGTCCCGCCTCGCTCCCCCGACGTTTCCCCACCAACTTCCAGTGAACCTCCTCCCGCAAAGGCTGCCGGCAGGATACGGCCCCTTCTGGGGGTGGGAATGGGGTTGGGGGGGCTCTCCCACCACGAGGCAGCCGGCGACAGGCACGGGGTGCGGCTGGCGCTGCTTTTCAGTTTGTATTTTCATTTTATTCGATGCGGAATGTACAATTTTTTTCCCCCAGCCGAGCGAAGCTGGCCGGCAGGGCGCGAAGTACAGATATACATGTACTTGTTAAAAGTATATCGTTAGGTGCGTATATACATTTGATCATTATTATGATTAGATTCGCGGGTATGAAGAGGGCAAAAGAGGGCGAAGGGAGAG